TTGATTCCAGTATTTAGAGACACACAATTATAACCGTTTTGCGTTGACATTAATGCCACGTGTTTCTGATTCTCTTTACTATCGTTCATTTCTCCATGTAATTATGTAAATTCATCAATTAAGTCAAGTGTCTATTCATGCTAATTTAAATAATTTAATTAACATCCCAAAATGATTAAACGAGACGTTTTCATCTGCATAAATTTCATATAAATGACTCACGAATACAACTCATCTATATTTGCGTTAGTAAGAATGAGATACAATTCCTTTTAATAACGGGAATTATAAGATTTTTGTTGAATCAAGTTATTCACTTCTGTGTACACCTTTTTAACAAAAACAAGAATTTTTAGGATTTGTTTTTTAAGTTATGTTATTGGTGTAATTTTATCATCTTAAAATGTGAGTCATACAAATTTGGATCGGTTACTTAATTGTTACAATATTATGTTTCTGACAGCAAAGAAAACAATTCAACACAAACGAATCGATGTGATAAATCATAACATTTCTAGTTTTTGATTAGCTTAACAGATTTATGTTTTCTGTTGACTCCTTCACTAACCTTATCTTTATTTATGACTTTCTGTGTGAAAATGAAAGACATTTCTCGTCTCAAGTCCACAATATTATTTATGTTTAACTGATATTAATAAAGATAAAACAAATGCATGATACGCGGACACTTTTATAGATGAGAACAAAAGTGTATCGAAATGCACGTAATATTTATTACATTCACAGGGAAACGTTTCAAAGAAAGAAAATATTAAATCTGGCATACAATATTGATAAAGACAGTATTTGATAAAATTGGCTTCAAATAAAGATTTTAATTATGTTTACTCATTGTGTTGTAGGCGTCTTATGATATATTTATGCATTTCTGCGCCAGTTGGTAAGGTTAAAATTATTTTTGTCTTAAAAAAAAGCATACCGGTATGCTAGAAAGTAAATCGAATTGTAGAAGTAATACTGTTATTAATTCAACATCGGGAAACACAAAAAAAGGGTTGTAAACAAAAGTAGGTTTTTATGCATTGGCTTAATATAAGCGGGATACATTTGGAACATAAATCAGCTCATATTGGAAAAATGTAGTTGACTTATATAATTATTATTTCGTACAATTTTGCACTACATTGCATTTAGAAATTGATCTTTTTTGATGTTTTGTTTTTTATTTCTTTGAATTCTTTGTCCGATATCAAGGATTTTATATATTAATCAACATATTTTTCACGGATGTAAACAGTCTGACTAAGCGTACAAAGATTTTATCAATTAAGTATGCAAAATAAAACACTAGTTTCTATTTTAGTCTGTACTTGCACCTGAGATATAAGCACCTTCTTCATTTTATTAACAATATGTTCTTTTACAAGCACGTCATTACACAAGTGCAAATTTTGTGAAAAAGTGTGATACTTGCTTGAAACGTATCAATCTTGAAATTCAAATATCTAAAAGAACATCTCAATGCCTAATGTATTTAACTGCAATGAATACTGTATTGTTCAAGACAGTACTTGCCTTTAATGAAGGCAGATTATCGATTGATCAAATCTTATCAATAACTAACCAGGCATTAAGCTTTCGTTATACTATTCTTTACCGACTTTTAAGTAAGTTACAAATGTAACAGACATATGAGCTTTTGAGTGCATTATGTCGATTTCGGTTAGGTAAGTCCGTCCGTCTGAAATGATTAGTTTTACATAAATTATCTATATTATTTAGTATAATTATAATAAAAGTAAACGGAATAAAACACAATAGATTATACAGTTATATTTCTACTGAGCGTTTTGGAACACACTTATTTTCCGTTCGTTTTTGCTCGAAATATGTTAATTATTTTGTCGTCCAAATACAAAGATTTTTCATTCTTTATATATATAGGAGTGATACTCCGTGAATTTTTGACTTGGAATAATTTGTTTCTAGCCATTTTTGTTTTAATTTCTTTAACATGTGCATTAAATGAATCATACAAAAGTTGACATTTTGGTAATCACTATATTGCGCTAATAAAACAAATTAAAACATTTCTCCTAATTATATAATCGGTAAATTATAGCTGTTTTGTTTGGCATCTCTGCGAATGTTCCATCAAGGTTGCAGGAAAATAAAATAAATTTGGATGTTTAATTCGAATGTAGCTAAGATTAAGTATCATGATATCTACGTACGTTTCAGGTTCTTTATATATGTTAAGTTTATATTATATCAAATTTGATTTGTTTACATCTATAATCATTTTCAAATAATAACAGCAATACATTCAAACTCTGTTTTAAATGTAATATGTAAAATGACCAGATGATAGGTATATATTTTGTCTTTAATCAAGGGTCAGATTACCTGGATATTTCTGTTAAACCAAATATATGCACAATCAACATAAGAGATTCATTTCATTTATCATCCGACCATTACATTGACAAATATAGAAATTAAAGAAATAATAAAATCACTCTTTCTGATTAAAGCAGTAAACCCTATTAATAATTTAAATTTGCAAAACGAATTTTTCTTAAAATAATTTTAAACAGAGGTTATCTGCTCTAAAACGTTCAATCAAATGAATATTGTAAATGCTTTCTAAAGAACACTTACCAATAAAGCGTTTAAAACTGTTTCATACTATAACGATTTACTAGAGTGATTGATTGTCGGCCGATTCATCAACGTTAATCTGGAAAAAAAAATTTCAAACACAAAATGAAATAAATTCATTGCTTTATATAAATTATTCGGGTATATACGTATATTCGTAAATAAGTTTCAATCATTAGCTTAATATTGTCTGAAAAAAATTGGAGCAGTTACTTTATACAAATATATTAATGTTATTCAAGGTAGCTTGGATTTTAATTATTACATTATCTCTAACAATTGTTTAAATGAAATAAGCAATAACTGAGTTTCCGCATATCTCAATTTAAAACTGGTATATTTGAAACGAAGAGAGAGTCATTATTGCCTATACCAATCTTTCAACAGGAAAGGTTAGACTTTTTTAATCTGGCATTTTAATTCAGTTCATTTTGCAAGTAGAGTTGGAATCAAAATAGAAAATAAACCTAACGATTTCTTCAATGGTATGCATTAGATAAATAAAATACATCTGACGTTTATTGAAGAGTATGTTTTATAAAAATATAAACAATCAATATGGATAATTGTCTGGGAATGGAACATCTTTTATTGCAAGAAATCCTTGAGTTTCACAATATATCTTATATTTCTTTCATTTGGTTTAAATAAAAAACAAAATGTCAATATAGAAGAATGTAAATTTGCGGCGGATCATCAATGTTGTTATAAAACACATTTAAGCAACACTTAAAACTTTACTAAATAACTTGTTTGTTGAATTCTGCTTTAAACGAAGCTAGGAACCGTGGACGGTAACTTGCATTTTCCAGTACTGGCCATAAACATGCTTTATAAAACCGAGGCTGCAACATTTTCAATATTCCGTTTTTCTTATATTGTATTTTGTCCTACAAACACGATTTTAATCTTCATAAAAATTATTTTCATAATATTTATTATATTAGAATAATTATTATAATTAATTCAACTGTGCATATAAATATGTTTTGTAAGGTTTTCTGAAAGCTACTTAATAACTGTGAGGATGTGATCGTGAATAAAACTAGGCGTTGTGTACGGTTCGTTTCCTTAATTCAAACTGAATGTTTACATACATAGGAAATGACGTTACGTTAAAAACATAAGTAAACAATTCGCGCAAAAGCGACGTTCCGTGACGTCGCGCCAAATCTACAACATTTTCCGGGCCTCAGAAATGCTAAATGTAATAATTGTCATACAAAAACATAAAGTAATGGAATTACTTATTTAAAACCATATTGAAATTGAGCACCATAATTAAAACAGCTATATTTAGATATATCACAAACAGACTGGCGCTATGTAAAGTCTCGTTTTGAATTATTTTCCCTCGTCTATGTTTATACAAATTGAATTGTCTTTTCACGAAATATTAGCGGTATAGGATAAATATTTCAATAAGTATCGTAATGTCTATTCATCTGGTTTCTGGATATTTTCCAATGGGTACAGTTTGATAATCGGTCGTGTAGTCAGCCCTCCGGATGTACGTATCCTCGCGGCCCTCGAAAACCCGTCATTTCCCGTTAAAAGTTCATCAACTACCGCAAGGCTCCACTGTAGCCTGGGTGTAAAGTCGTCTTGGACAATAACAACGTCACCAACCTGAATAGTCTGGTTTGTGGTACCACTCGACCGTTGGTATTCTCTTAATGACGTCAGATACTCGTGTTTCCAGCGGTGCCAATAGTGATTAATTAACTCCTCACGTCGTTTAGCACGTTGTCGAACATCATTACCTTTGCTGTGGTAACCGGGAGTATCGTTGGTTACCACAGTATCGTAGAATGGTGGAGTTGTCAGTCTGCGTCCATGTAGTAAGTGTGAAGGGGTGAGAGGCTCTGGATCATCTCTAGCAGATGAAACGTAGGTAATTGGTCGATCGTTCATCATTGCCTCTACTTCGGTAACTATCGTCTGCAGCGTTTGCAAATTAATGGAGGCTTTGCCGAGAACTTTCTTAATCGCTGTTTTCATTACACCAATTAGTCGCTCCCACATTCCACCATACCAAGGTGCTCTTTTTGGAATGAACTGCCAGTGTGTTCCTCTTTGTGTAAGGGCAGTATGAAGATTTTGCGAATTATAGAGTCGCCGGATTTGATTGGCTGCTGCATGAAAGGTGGTACCATTATCAGATATCATCAGTCTTGGTAATGGTCGTCTGCTGATGAATCGTCTGAAGGCTAACATAAATGATTCTTCTGTAAGGTCTGGAACTATTTCTAGGTGAACAGCACGGGTTTTGGCACACGTGAATAGACATATGTATACCTTCTGCTGAACTTGCTTTTCTTTAATGTAAAGTGCCCCTGTGAAATCGACACCTGTTACGGAGAAGGGTGGTTCGACGATTACTCTGGAAACCGGAAGTGGTGGGGGTCTGGGGCGGTATAGGGTCTTCCTGTAACTTTTCTACAAATGACACATCTTCGGAGAACACTTTTCACGTGCTGTCTGATTGATGGTATCCAGTATTTCTGGCGTAGATGGGTAACAGTATGGGCGACACCTGCATGTAACTGATTGTAATGAGCGTCTTCTATTATCAGTCTGGTGACATGACTCTTTGGGGACATAAGGAACGGGAATCTTGTTGTCTCTGGCAACTGTGCGTTATGTATTCTTCCGCCACAACGAATACAACCGTCCTTGTCTAAATAAAGTCTTAGCTGTCGAATTATTGGACTGCGTTTTTTCTGGGATTTAAGATCTTGAATTACGTCTGGGAAATATTGTTGTTGGCAAGTTTCAATCAGTTTTCCTTCTGCTAATCTCAGCTCTTCTGTAGATAATGGACCACTTTGGCGATAATTATACGTCACTCTGCAGTTTTTAATGAAACGTATAACGTATGCCGTAACACGTAATAACTTGTGAAAGCTGCTATATCTGTTTAACTCTAGAATTTGACGTAAACCAGAGTTACCTCTCTTGTCAGATACAATTTCTTCCTCTGAATTTTGTTCCGTCAACGTAGTGAAAGTGATTGCCCTAGTTTGTTCCAAAGTAGGCCATTTATTGTTGTGAATTAACCAAGTAGGTCCATTTTTCCATAATGTGCTTGATTGTAACTGGGTCGCAGTTAAACCTCTGGTTTGTAAATCAGCGGGATTTTGATCTGTTGGACAATATCGCCATTCAATATCGGGGGTAAGTTTCTTGATTTCTTCGACTCTGTTCAAAATGAAGCGTTTAAGTGTTTTTGTAGATTTCAGCCAACTTAACACTATTTGACTGTCGGACCAACATGTGATTTTCTTGCACGTGAATGCATTTGACACGTGGTGGGTTACACGTGCACCGATGAGTGCTGCCATCAGTTCTAGTCTGGGTAAAGTTATCTCTTTGACAGGTGCGACTCTATTCTTTGCAAATACAAGGGTAGATGTATGACCGGAAGTAAGATACGCTACAGCTCCATAAGCACGTGCACTTGCATCAACAAACACGTGTAAATTAAAATCGGCGGAATTTGCTGTATTTTCAGTGGTGGGAAAATATGGTCTCTGGAACTTGGTTTGAATTACACTGTTCAGGTCGATGCTCAAATCAGCCCAGGTGTTAATGATATCAACCGGAAGTGGTGTGTCCCAATCAAATTTCTTCTTCCATAGGTCTTGAACTAGTAATTTGGCGCGTACAGTTACTGGGCTAAGCAATCCCAGGGGGTCATATAATTTTGAAGTCTGTTTGAGAATAGAACGTTTGGTTGTTCTCTTAGAGTTTACTATCGTGCGCTGTACAAACGACATCTCGTCATTATCCGGGTCCCATAACATTCCTAATACCTTGACAACTTTATCCTGGTCACGGCACCATAAAATGTGAGGATGTGATCGTGAATAAAACTAGGCGTTGTGTACGGTTCGTTTCCTTTATTCAAACTGAATGTTTACATACATAGGAAATGACGTTACGTTAAAAACATAAGTAAACAATTCGCGCAAAAGCGACGTTACGTGACGTCGCGCCAAATCTACAACAATAACATTTCATTATCTTCAAGAAATCAAAATATATTGAGAACTAAAGATATCAAATACCTAAAGATATGTCCTGTTTTCATCTGTTTGTTGTACATTTAGCTTTGGACAACCAACGTTAAATTAATAATATGACCCTATTCCGATAATTTCAAGATAAATATAGATCACATACGACTAAACCAGATGCAGGCATAAAATTTGGCATGTACCATGTTTTTGTGATAAAAAAATACTAGACTGATGTCATTACATTGAATTAAACGCGGTTTTTACAATTATAAGCATCTGGTTAAGAATAAATACAGATACAATATCGCAGTATAGCCTCTGAATTGTTTTTATTTATCTGTTTCATTTCACTAAATGAGTCAATCAAACCACCTGAACAAGTAAACTAAGAAGATTCTTTATTAGACCACCCTATCAACAACAAGATGTTGCAAAAAAAAAAATAGAAAAAAATATAATCTTATAATGTTATGTAAACATGGGAAAAGAATTTTGCCGACGAAACTCAATTTAATTAATGTAAATGCAAAAACTCCGACTTTTCTTCATTACACGTGTAAATAATATATTCCTATGTCTGCAATCTAAGAGATACTGTGTTGTGTTTGTTGGAAAATATTATCACATTCAGATTGTCTTTAACGTTATCATGTTGTCCTGAAATTGTGCGTTTTCTTCAAGTCACCAAAAATAATGTAGCCCTAGTTTTTCTATCTAACATCCAGTATTATACAAATTATATTAAAGTGTAAGTGCAATAAAATAAACATATCGTTATTAATATATTGCCAAGCGTTTATATGTTGAAAGAAAAAAATGATATGACTTTGCAGCTATATTTTCTTGGTTGTAACAAGAAATGAAATATATCACCCTTTTGAAAGGATTGTCAAGGGAATCTGAAAATGGGACATGCACGTTTTGAATTATTTACTAGAAAACAGTCATGTTAATCACATTAATAGGTCATGTTGGTTTGGGTTCACTGGTGGTCATTCTTGGCCCGATTTTGTTATTAAAAAACGTTCATACGTTCATTTACTGGGTTGTTCAACACTTTATTAGTCTATAAAAACCAATCAAAAAAAGATCTTAAAGTATGTAGTGAGGACCTTTATTAAAAAGTACAGTTATCTCCCCAAAACAATCGTTTTTTTTAAGCTCTCGGCAAAACCCCTAAATCCAATCACTTCCATTTGCTGACGTCACTTAACTCCAATAACATTTAGAAAAAAAAACAAAAACACGTCATTGATGTATCTATTTTTTAACCTCATTTGAACCCTTTGCTATCTAGTGGTTTACATTTCTAGGAATGGCCAATTCCGCAAGTTTGTTTCATTTTATAAACATCATTCAAATACTGTATTTAATATCCTTCAAATTGTTGATTTGTCTAGGCATTGCTGTGCGCTAGATGTGTAAATAATAAAATTAATGTTACATTAAACGAGATTACATTTTGGTATTAAGATAATGCATTATGTATCTATCTATGATCTTACGTTAATGAACACCGGGATAAAATACTACTGGTATTAAATTGAAGTAATTACATAATGATGTAATATTTCTTACATAAATGTATTATGATGGCTTATCAACTCCTAAAAGATTTAAGAAGGCGAAAAATAAGTACGCCATTACTGTTTGTTCCCTACAATAACCATTCAGTATAATTATTTGAGAGATATGAGGAAAATATGAGATACAAAACACCAGGGGAAAAAATCAGAAAAGCTTTATAAACGATTATTTAGAATAAAATAATGAAAAATATTATATTTGATGAAGATAACAAAATAAAATCTGTACCTTTTAGCACACTTTTTTTCTTGCTTTGTTGTTGTTGCTGTTGTTGTTGTTGTTACAGTTACCGTCAGTGTTAATGAATTTTTTAAACATTAAAGTTCTTGATGTAGTAGTCAGGTTCCTTATGCAATAGTGTATGTAACTTTATAATCAATTTCTAATTTGTTCAGCCCATTATTTTCTTGTTGAGGGCACTTTCTGAGAAACGAAGATTCCATGATGACCGCCGTGTGAGCACATCTGTTGATTTCTTTTGCAATTCAAAATGTCACTTTTTCATGTTTGAATGTTGAATTCTTCTTAAGCTGGTGCTAGCGGTAGGAACGGTAGCTTGCACTTACCACCAATACTGTCCAATGAACAGTCTCAAGCAAACCAAGCTTACAATATTTTCAATTTTTGTCGTTCTGGACGTTCTTTAGGGATTCTGTTTTTTCCCATTTCATGTATTTTTGTAAGTAGCCTTTGTTTCAATTTTGATAGTTTTTGTTCGAGATTTACTGGACTAACGCTATACGATATGTGATAATACAAATAATGCATCCCTTTTGTCGAACGGAATGCAAACAATTACTCGTGTATATCAATATTACACTTAAATATGAAATAGTTATTGACAAGCTATTTTTGTTTTATCACCATTACGATGAGGAGAGAATTCTGACCTATCAGTAGATTCGTGCCAAATGACACGTTAATCATTAATGAATTATAATTATGATAAACAACCCCTTCAGAAGTCTCTGATAAAAATGGCCAAATTAAAAATACCAGATAAATTGCTTCCTTCTGTGCCGGAAAGTTATATTTCGCTAAGAAACAACGGTATGAACTGATGTGTCACACTTGTTGTAATTGTATGTATTGCGAAAATAAAGACTAAAAGACGTCTTTTGTTACATTTATATTGGTCTGAAAATAACTGCATTTCAAATTTTGTCACGTATGCCTAACGTCTTATAGCCCTGAACCCATCTCAAAATATAAATAATGTCGGAGAAAGAAAATGAATACAATTGTTTCAGCCAGCTTGTCCAGGTTATATATAACTACGATTGACATTGTGCAGAGAATAAAATGTAATACTGAAACTTCCAAATAACTGTTTCATCTATAGCATGAGATGATGTTATATTTTGTCCTCCACTAGAATAATTACGACCAAAATAAAAGGAAAGTACACTATTTGCTCATGCTATTTTTATATTGGTTGAAGTCATTTTTTATACAATAAATTGTTATTGCTCATCAAAGCGTTTGATATTTCTATGCTAGTATTATCAAACGTTTCGTTTCATTTATGAAATCTAATATTTACACTGATTGTAGCCATGAGCTTTGATATCTGACAAACATCTAACGTACATACAGTTATGTTATTTTGGGAACTAATCAACTGCAATTATGATACATTTATTGACAAAAACCCAAATAACAACAAACTCTACAAAGTGTTATACTTAGCATGTCTAAGTTGGATATGTATTCCCCATGTTAATTAACATCATATCAACGATAATTTCTACAAAATGTATTATCATTTATTTATCATTTTATGCAGTTTCTAGTTCAACTTGACAATGATTACAAATTCTTTCAAGCGATCTTTGTTTTGTGACTTTCTTTTACAAAAGGAATAGTAAACATTATATTGAAACTTCATGTAACATCTTTTTAATCGTAAGTTCATATTATACGTTTTGGAAACTGCAATATTGACTCCACAAAATTAAACATATATTTAGTGTAACTGAATACATTTGAAAAAACAAAGTATGTTGATATATGGATTATTGCTAATTGACCAGTATACAAGCGCAAGTCTCTGACGATTAGTATCTGGTTGAAGCAGATTATTACAGTCAATTTCATTTATTATAATAAATGTGAAATACTTTAGACGAATAGGAAATTATCGATTTTCAAGCAAACATGTAATCAACTCAAAGTTTACTAATACGTATATTTGTAGTATTTGATATTTTCTACATAGATTATTTTTGACATTCGTGGTAACTATGATCAACTGTGACTGTAGACATCACTGAGTAACAACGAACAACGATGCTCATGATTCTTTATTATATTTTGGTCAAAAGTGTAGAATTCTTTCACTTTTAAAGGCTGTTTGTGATAAAAACATACTTACAACAATGTTGTGAATTTTTATGTCATAAATGTCTTCATAAAAATAACGGATATGTTACTTGTACAAATTTATACAATGGTGGAATATTACAAAATATCTTTTTTAATCTTTATTTCATTTTTTCATAATACTCAAACTTCTCCATGGGATTCCGTAAAATTAAACAATCTAGATTCTAGTTAACATCCCAACATTTGCATATCTTCATAGAAATAATCCATGGATACATATAGTCTAACGACTGCTTCATTACATTTAGTTAATGAGATAAAATCCCTGTTAATTAATATTGAAGGAAATAAAATCAAGAATACAAGGATTGTGAACGAAAGTAAATACAGGTACATGATACAATGACACATGACATTAAAGATAAACATTTGGCATTCAATTCAATTCTTTCAGCTCAAATTTTAATATACTATCTTATTATTGCAATTTTGTATAGTTTAAGGTCAGTTTGTCTAAAGGTTTTCTTCCTGAGATATTTTTTTATTAATCTATAGATTGTTTACATCACAACCATCTTACTAGCGAGGGAACACACATTTTAACTATACAGTCCAACCCCGTTTAATCGAAGTGCTTGTGACTGAATATTTACTTCGAATAATCGATGGGTTCGAATAATCGAAATCAAAATATTGTGATAGAAGAAAACTACTCATCTTTGACCAATCATAGCAAAACTACTGTTTGCAACACACTTACTTCCTGTAATCAATTGAAAAAAATAAATATTAAAGAAAATATGCGTAAAAATTATTGTATTGACATTGAAGAAATAAATACTTGCATTTTATTCTATATTATGTATAGTTTC